GCGTCGGTACAGAGGTGCCAAAGCGAAACATGCATTCGGGCAGAGTATGGAGACGACATCTGGGCATCACTACCCTCCAGCCGCATTGCCATTTTTGTCCGGAAAGTGGCACCCTATCGCGGCAGCGGACCCATTCTCCCAAACCTGGCAGTGACCAGGATCCACGGAGTGAAAGAACAGTTGTCTTTAACACATTGCGGACCGCCGCACTGCGCGCATCCCTGGAATATTTTACATTTTTCAACGGTAGTTCATGAGTAATTTCCTCCATCTTTCTAATCCCTTATGAGGCATGCATCTTCCGTAATCGAGTGTGTGTTTTTACAACATTACAGTGTGAAACATAAGCCAAATGACACACCATGTGTGTCACGCGGTCCGGAAGTGTCAAACACAGTTTTCAGGAACAATTGTCGAAAATGTGCTGCTGGGAGCTGATAAGTGTTCGAAGGATGATGCTATCGAAGCATGCCGCTTAGCCAACGCTTCTTCGTTCATTGAAATGCTACCGGAGGTACGTACACTTGATAAAAAGGGTCACATAATCATCAAAAATAGGTAACAGGAGTTTGGCGTGGCGGGTGAATATACGGCGCAGTGTACATCATGCGAATGTGAAGTGGAACAACCCTTTACCCGAAACTGTGCGTGCCACTGCGACTCAATTCGCAGCCTGACGCTACGACCTCAGCATATTCCTCTTCAAAACAGAACTCCGCTGTCGAAACATTTACGGTGTGTGAGCGCACCTGAAAAGGTAAAGTCATCATTCAAAAGTTCTCCCTCCGCCTCCTCCCTCCCTCGCAGCTGAGGACTTCCCTCCTCATGACATTTGCACAACTTCGATAAATTCCACGTTATGTCCGTGTGTACGCGCCTTCAGAAAACTGGCGTGAAGACTTATTCTAGGGCTTCCGAAAGACGGGGCAAGAAAAGGTGAGGTAACGCGGAAGATAAGAAATGAGATGGCACAGCTCCCCCCCCCCCTCCTCCGGCACCGCAGCCACCTTTCTTATCAAATAAGTGTTTGGACCTGTGCAACTCCTGTTTTACAGAAACAAAAGTTATTTTCTTCCAGAGCTACGACACAGATGTAGGCGAACAGGGACGATCGCTGTCAGGCGGGCAGAAACAACGTATCGCCATAGCACGAGCGCTGGTGCGTAAACCTAAGATTCTTCTCTTGGATGAAGCTACGAGCGCACTTGACACTCAGAGTGAACAGGTGGGGTCCTCGTGTAATATGTTCACATTAGTCCTGACCGTCACCTGTCCTACCATGAAAGTTCTTTCTTCGAAGTTGGTTCCTTTTTCGAAGTGATTCTATTCCAGATGGTCCAACAAGCATTGGAAAAGGCAAAACTTGGTCGTACGGTAATTACAGTTGCCCATCGCCTCAGCAGCGTGCAAAACTGCGACCGGTAAGTGGGACTAGTGCTGTTTGGTTACGATAAGCATACAGCTGGTGCCGTCAGTTTTGCTTAACTCGAAGATAGATTACATCTTTCGAACTCAATCTGCACACGAAGATAGATTACCAACACATTACTTTTCTGCCATAAGTAGAGAGATGGCGGCAAGGGAGGATGAAAGAAGGTTGAAGAAACTGCTTTTCAGGATACTGTACATAGAAAATGGAGTTGTGGCAGAAAGCGGAACTCACGCCGAACTCATGAGGCTGAATAGAAAGTATGCGACTTTAGTACGAGCTCAAAATCTAGAGGGTGGTGGTTGAGCAAGCGTTTTGTATTGAACCATTACCTAATTCTTACTGTCAAGTGCAATGTTATTTGTAATCAGAGGTATCAACGAAGCCTCTTCATTTACTTGCTGTAATTTTCTGTGGCATGACGTGCAGATGATGTAGAGAATAAAGATGTTAATATTGGAAAAGTAGGTATGTATTGGGTTGTTGTCATTATCACTACATGTTCGAAAGAGAAAACCTCAAATCGCTAAGAATGCTCTGTAGTTCACAGACTCGCCGCGATGGAACTTCTGCTGCAATATTCATTTCAATTTACTTTGCTGCAATATATACCATTTTCAATTTGATTCGGACCCCTTTCAAATCAAATCGGACACATCCCTCACAACGGGCAGTTGGTTAAAGACACATGGTACGCTCAAACACATTGAG